TCAGCTTAATGACGCGACACGGGCCAACCACTGATACTGAAAGATATCTACACTTAAGCGATGCAAGGCAGAATATTTGTCTCTCATTGAAGTTTTTTAGGGTAATTTTTGCTCTTTATTTAAAATTTGTGGGTAATTTTACGTCATACGTGATGCTGACCCGCAGGGCGCGGGTTCGAATCCCGGCTGCGGCGGCTGCATTTCCGATGGAGGCGGAAATGTTGTAGGCCCGTGTGCTCAGATTTGGGTGCACGTTAAAGAACCCCAGGTGGTCTAAATTTCCGGAGCCCTCCACTACGGCGTCTCTCATAATCATATAGTGGTTTTGGGACGTTAAACCCCACATATCAATCAATTACGTCATACGTGACGTTTGCACTGAGTTCACGTGACCGTCCCACATCTGACGGTGATTGGAATCTCGCTGTTGCTCTTTATGAAATAAGAGCACGCAACAATGCCACTAAGGAGATCAACGTTATCGCTTCACATTGCGTCATAATAATGTCGCGAGAAAAATAAAACAACGTGAAAGTCTTAGATGTCTCATCAAAGACGAAAATTCACAGTCGCGGTGTCGGCTGCATCGACCCGAGTGATAGAAATATCCTCACAACGTGATGACTTCCCCACGTGGTACCTTTGACAGTGATCTCTGAAACTTGTGACGTCACTGTGACGCTCGAGGACGTCACATGACGTTAAGTTATGGCGTCTGCACAAAGCATCGTTTCTTAGTCAAGGCTAGCCGGTCTCAAAGGCATGCGAAACCAATTGCATAAGGCTGTTGGATAGTGGAGGGGCAGTGGAACAATAAGGTACTGACAAAGAATACCTTTGGAGTCTTTTGCCTCGTCAGCTTCTATCTGCGTAATGACACGTTGCCATTACGACTCAACGACCACTGCCATTTTGTTTTTGTTCTGGCTAAACTATCAAGAGGGGTCATCGAGTGAAACACATTAGATCATAGACGGCAACGCCAGATTGCTTAGGACCCGTTTCGCTGCTGGCAGCGCTTTTGTCAAGTGTGATATCTTTACACTCCTCGTGTGCGAATACCGTAGCGAGCGTTTCATTGTTGATAATGGAAAGTCGGAGGTGTGTCACTGATGATTAGAAAGGCGCATATCTTCACGCTAGCCTGATGCTTGCGTCGAAACGATGGTTTTCAGCAGAAAAACAGATATCTGACCTCAGATATTCCGCGCATCAGTAGTCACCTCACACTTTGTGAAAGATAAAAAGAAATCCGGCCGAATCAATGGATTGAACAAGCGTTGCGATCGGCAAACTTGCGTACATCGTGGCTGTAGACGAGACCATTGTCTAGTTTCCAGTGATACTGGTATACGTCTTGAGAACTATTTGAGAGGAATGCCACAGCTTGTACATGAAGGATCGATTGATTGACATGTGGAGTTTAACGTCCCAAAAACCACAATGTGAATATGAGAGACGCCGTATTGGAGGGCTCCGAAAATTTTCACCACCTAGGGTTCTCTAACGTGCACCCAAATTGGAGCACTTGGACCAACAACATGTCCGCATCCACTGGAAACGCCGCCTCCGCTGCCGGGATTTGATCCCGCGACCTGCGAGTCAGCAGCCGAGTACCTTAGCCACTAGACCACCGTGGCGGGGCTGTACATGAAGAATACGGTAAATTTGTTAGAGCTCACGTTTATAAGCAAAACCGCCATAAAAGAAATGGCATCTGAATGACTCCAATGGGTCTAATAGAATTTTGTGCCCGGCTTGCAGACATTGCTTGGAACTGATAGACTATTGGCTGTTAGAACGTACAGCTTTGTGTAGTGTCTCTGCTGCGTAGTGCTAAGGAACCGCAAAACAAATGCTTCGCAACGAAAAAGAAATGCAATGCGCTGAGCGCATTGAGTCTTGTGCCATGCATGTTCCACCGTCTTGGTGGAACAGTGGCTATGGTGCCGATTTGATTCCGGCCGTGGTGATTGCATATCGATGAATGCGAAATGGTAGGGGCCCGTTTACTGTGGGATATCAGTGCTATATAAAGAACACCAAGTGGTCAAAACTTCCGCAACCCTCCACTATGGCGTCACTCAGACATATGATAGCTTTGGGACGTTAACCCCACATGTTAATAAAATTATTTTCACCTGCTGTCTTCAACATTAAAGCTGATATTGTACATCACCTTTAGCCATTAAACCAATGTGGCGAACATCTACATGTTACTAAGCTGTGCTTGTGCCATCCACAGCTCACAAAAGGAAGTTTACCATCACTGGGCTCGGTATTTGTCTTTATTTGGCGAGGCTGCCTATTTACAAACTGCATCGTCGATCCAGCTGAATTCGGGGACCCTTCTGCAGAGTTATTGAACCAGACCGTGTAACACAAATACTGGCGCACGAAGTGTCACTTCTCCAGGGAAGGAAGTCTTCACCACAACAGGAAATGCTGGTCAAACGGGTACATCTTCTTAGAAAGCTTCATTAATGTAGGTGCATACTCTTAGGCGTCGTCATTGTTGAATCTTTAAAGGAACCCCTTGCACTTCGCCATACAGACAACCGATGGTTATTCAATTTTAAGAAAGCCAATGCGTGTCTGTTTTTTGAGTTAATCTATGGCTACAATGCTTTGAAGAGAACGTGTTAAGCAGGTTTTGTAATACTACCGACAGGTGAAGCAGTTTTGCACACGCTGGTGAGCGAAACATGATGCCAACGTGTCTTCGTGTAGCACAACACTTCGCGGGCTCCCGTGATGCAAAGTGGTCTCCCTCCTTGCGACGCATGCTAATTTCCATCTGCTTATGAACATACTTCCTCCTGTTTCAACGTGTTGCAATGTTTCTGCGAAAAAGTTGGAATGGAAAGCTACGCGTACTTGGTATTCATAATCGACTATATACGTAGCTCGACGAACAGGATCTACACATCTTGATTTAGAGGAGAGTTATAATGGACACCGACCAGTAACGTTCGCATCAAACAAACGGAACGTTACGAAATAAAAAGAGACAAACTCGTTCACTTTTCTTGAAGTTTCATTTTATCTTGTTTCCCTTAATTCTGCACTTCTATGTCTCATATCTTTGGTGTGTCCCAACTCCCGCCCTGCACTGCAAGTTGATCAAATTGAACACACACCAACTCTGCCAGCTTTTACGATGCACGCAGCATCTACGCAGTCTCTTGCGACTCACTGTAACGCACGTGCTGCGCACTCAAACCAGCGCAATGAACAATTAGTAACCGTCTGTCGCGATTGTTTTAATCAGCGTGAATCATTGAAGGCGTGACCAAAACTGTTGCTATAGTTGATTTTCAAGATCTTTCAGACTGAGCAGTGGGCTTAAATATTAATATGTAAAATATAGTAATTATCTCGTGTCCATTTTTTATGAGGTTGCTTCTTTCACTCTGGGGGGGGGGGGGTGGGGGTGTCTCTCATGGTTGCGCCGGTGTGTACGCTAGTGCTCATTGCTCCCACTAGAGGCGCAGCTGTTCTCCACATCACTACTTGCGTTTGTTATGGTGCGCTCGCTTTCGGCACGCTTCCATTCTCTTTCGCCTGACATCACTCTGTGCGCGTCAATACAGCTACCCGCTTTTAGCATTGCAGAAGCCAAGGTGGCGGCGCGGAGGGCTCGAAATGCGGCTGCAGCGTGGACTCGCCGTCAGGACCCTCCTCGAACTTTGAACTACACCTTATAATTCAAGTTCCGCTGGCTTTGTACTTTACGGATTACAAAGCCATTAGAGCCATTATACTAAAAGAAAAACGTTTTTTTTTTTGTACTAGGCTCTTGAACAAAACATTATATACTGTATCAGCATTTACATATCCTTATATAGTACGTTGATATGTAAATACTAAACATTGTGTATATAACGTGCATACACATCCACACCACAGCTGTCGTGTCACACCTTCATATGATGATGATTGAGCATATGTACAGAGGATTCATGGTTTGCCGGGTTTGACCTCTGGAGCAAGCTTCTTCATTATTATTCACTTAGTGCATATGCGGGGATTTTTAGTAATAGCTTTCGCACACGATCATTCTCGTTAATTTTGACTCACTTGCTAAGGCTCCTGAGAAATAATCGCAGTTGTCTGTGCCTGCGTTTTCATAACTGTATTTACTGCAATTTCACGTCACTTCCCGGCCTCTTCTAGCCTTCTGCAGTCTTTCGGTGGAGCAGCGGGTATGGTTCTCGGCTGCTTACATGAAGGTCGAGAGTTCTGTCCCGGTCACAGCGTGTGAAACTGTGGATGCTCGTTTAAGGTGCGATGTCGGCGCACAATGAAGAACACAAGGTGGTCAAGTCTTTCGGAACCCTCTATTGCGGCGCCTCTCATACAGAAAATAATGGTTTCAGTACGTAAAAACACATATATTATTATTATTATTATCACTCGAATATTATTTTTTAATATTATTAATAAAGTAGACCAAAGAAAGCAGAGGGGACACTAAGACAGCCAGCCAGAAGTAAGAATAGCTGATTGGTATTTGTATCTTCTGAGACCTTTCACAAAGTTGGGACAGAGGTGCATGAGCACACTTTTCATGGTAGCTACCTTATACCTCCCATAGCATTATAGGACTCAATACTATGGGTAATTTAGAATTGCATATTACGGTCTTAACATTAGCGTATGTGACTCTTTGCTTGAGAAATTCACTCATCGGTATGCGTAATAATAATACAAGAAATAGCACAACATACATCAAATCAATCTTCAAAACCGAATAAAAAAGTGAATTAAGCCAAACTTGCTGCAGAATATTAAGCTATATTCTACTGCACTAAAGAGATGCCTCCATGGTACCAAACAATGCCTTCTAGATACCATTAATTTAGCCTAGAATCATACGCAGAAGTGTCTTATATGTGGGCTGTTATCTGTTAGTGCACTCTATATTCTATTTTGTATATCTATTTGTTTTATTTCTTTTCAAATTTATATTCTGCATTGCCTTCTTTACCTTTACGCAG